CAATTGTTAAGCAAATCACAGCCGTTGTTAAGTGAATCACACGGCCATGGATCGGACTTCTCCTAGTGACTTTGCTTGTCAGAAGCTGACTAGAAGGTGGTAAATGGAGATCACATGATCACAGGACACTGCAACTGTCGTCCATACATGCCAGTTGCCAAGCACCCGAATTTTAATATGTGACTAATGGGATACTCACAGTTGTAAGTACGAGGACCAATTGCAAGTTACCTTTCTCTGGTGCAATTATAACTTCAAATGGTCACTCAATGCAAGGCTGTAAGTCGAGGACTACCTGTGCAGGCATTATGTACATCTGATTCTTCCAAGGTAACTCCACGAATGTTCGGTCCCAAGGAGCTGCTCGCAGCCATTTCAAGCATTTCTGCAATTTGAGGTGAAAAATATTTTTTTTTACTTCAGAAAATCATTGGCTTTCTCATTAAGTGATAAGATCTTATCAACGTGTGTGCATACTTTTTTTTTAAAAAAGAGAAGAAACTATTGCCAATTTATCACAAAGAGCAACATGTGGCAGTCTACACCGGATGTCAGCAACCTGTGGCTCCAGAGCCTCATGTGGCTCTTTGGGCCCTCCGCTGTGGCTCCCTGTCGGGTGATCCCACCACTGGCTGGCCCTGCCCCTAGCCCTCCCTTCCCAGTCACTCCTTGCCTGGCCTGAAAAGGTAAGGGAGACGGCAGGGGATGGAGAAGGGCAGAGGCAGAGAGATACAGAGAGAGGGAGAGAGAGAAGGGGGAGGGGGGAGATGTCAAAAGGTTTTTGTGGTTCCTGGTGTTTTTTAACAACTGATTCTCTGCCCTAATGACCGACTGAGTAGGTGTGGCTGGGGGGGGGGGTCATGTGACTTGTGGAAGTAAGTGACGTTGAGTTGGCCACACCCACCCATGTTTTGTGGCTCCCGGTGTTTTCTGTGGGAAACGAGTCCAAATGGCTCTTTGAGTGTTTAAGGTTGCAGAGCCCTGGTCTACACAATAGGCTGAAGTATAAAAAATGGGCTCTGTTCCTACTCCATAAGGAGCTTCACATTTAGAGGTATTTTTGCAACACTCAAGTGTCCAGCAAGATGTTTATTGTAATGCGGTAACTCTTTAATATGAACCATCCTTATTTGTCGGTTGCAGTTTTAATGCAAAGATTTTCCTAGCAATTTTTAAAAGAATAATGTTGGGTCTACTTTCGAAAACCTCCCTCAATACTTCTATGAGTTTAGATCTTTAGTGAGCTACGATGCTAGAGTTTGCCTCAAACAAGGAAGAGGTGAGACAATGCCCTCTTTGTATGTGTCTTTACACTAGCTTTGGGCACCAACGGTTGATGAGCGGACAAATGCATGTTTAACTCTCTCTGAAGCTCCATGAAACATCAAAAAGCTTTTGTTGTTATTAGTCGCGAAGTCGTGTCCAACCCATCGTGACCCCATGGACAATGTTCCTCCAGGCCTTCCTGTCCTCTACAATCCTCTGGAGTCCATTTAAGCTTCAGTGACTCCATCCAGCCACCTCCTTCTCTGTCATCCCCTTCTTCTTTTGCCCTCAATCTTTCCCAGCATTAGGCTCTTCTCCAGTGAGTCCTTCCTTCTCATTAGGTGGGCCAAAGTATTTGAGTTTCCTCTTCAGGATCTGGCCTTCTAAACAGCAGTCAGGGTTGATCTCCTCTAGGACTGACCGGTTTGATCGCCTTACAATCCAAGGGACTCGCAGGAGTCTTCTCCAGCACCAGAGTTCAAAGGCCTCCATTCTTTGGTGCTCAACCTTTCTTATGGTCCAACTTTCACAGCCATACATTGCAACTGGGAAAACCATAGCCTTGACTATACACACTTTTTTTGGCAGGGTGATGTCTCTGCTTTTTAGAATGCTGTCTAGATTTGCCATAGCTTTCCTCCCCAGGAGCAAGCTTTAGCCTCATGTAAAATTGCAGAACAGTATAAGCCTACTGTATATCATTGAAAATCTCTAGTCGAGGTTTCTCAACTTTGGCAATTTTAAAAGGGGTGGACTTCAGCCCCCAGAATTCCCAACCAATATGGCCTTCACCTCCTTTTGCATAATGGCTGGGTAATGCTGGGAATTGATCCACCCATCTTAAAGTTGCCAAGCTTGAGAAACACTGATTAGTCCAACCGGTTTGGTCAATGCAATCTATTATTACAGTGTCTTTTTTAACAGTTCTTTCTGTTACAGCAGGGGTGTCAAACTCAAGGCTCAGGGGACGCATCCGGCCTGCAGGGTGCTTAAATCTGGCCCATGGAACTGCCCTGGAAACAGGAAGGACCGGCCCATGGTGCCTCTGCCAGCGAAAACGGAGCTTGGGAGTGCCACAGGCAGCACTCCCAAGCTCCGTTTTTGCTGGCAGAGTGTTCGGGCCACCACAGGCGTCCCCGACACGAGTGACGTTGAGCTGGCCACGCTCACCCTGGCCACGCCCACCCCAGCTCCCCAAGGTCAAACACAACCCTGATGCGGCCCTCAATGCAATCGAGTTTGACACCCCTGTGTTAGAGGGTCTAAGAGAGAGTTAAAACAATGCTGAGGAATCCCTATGCTTTTCTTGATATTCTGATGAAATCTATTTCTTTATAATTTGGCCCTATTGTTTCTCGTCCTGTTCGCTGGAACAATGAACCATTCTGTCTCGCCTTGCACATGATAAGCCTTCAGCTACTTAAAAATGTGTCTCCACCCCAGTCTTCTCTTCTCAGGCTAAATATAGTCAGTTTTTCCATCCATGCCTTTTAAAATCTTGACATCCTTCATGTGTTAATGTCCTGCTTAAAAGGATGTAATCATTCTGGGTGTGGTTGGACCAATTCAGAACAGAGCAGAACAGTGATCCCTTTTGATCCGGGTTCTACAATTCAGTTGATGAAGTCTAGGATCACATTTCCACACATCTACATGTCTTTATTAATTGTATGAATTTAATTAATTTGACCACTGTAAATGAATGAAATGAATTAAATCAATATTGATTAATATTAATTTTATTTAGGTATTAATTTAAAATTAATTTCACCAATATTAATTAAATTAATGACATCAATTTTATTATTTAGTACATGGGTGTCCAATATTTTGGCTTTGCCTGGGCTGCACTGAGTGAAGAGGAATTGTCTTGGGCCACATATGAAATATATATGGTAATATAGTTAATATACATAAATAACAAGCTTCCTTTATTGTTTAATACTTTTTATTATAACTGTGGGGCTGCGTTATGAGCTGTTCCAGTGGCAGCCTGTGGGTCACAGGTTGGACATGCCTTATTTATTAATTTGACTAATTGAAAATTATAATTAAAATAATTTAAAATTAAAATGAACGTGTGTGGAACTGGGGACTAAATTAATTCTCTTTCCAACAGTCCACAGCACACAAACAAATTTAAGCAAAGACATCAGGCAACAGATCACAGACTCATGCCTGATTTGATTCTGGCATTGGGAAATCAGTGTCTGGGGAACTGGAAGAGGAAGTTGCTGATGTATTTGGCTAGAAATAGCTATTAGGAATCAGTACCTTGCAGAGAGAAAAAAATAGATTAGTGGTGGAGTGCTGAGTGATTATGATGGGGCTACTGTCTGGCTGAGGACCAAATGTTTTGATAAGAGGCTGAAAATGTCACCAATTTTAAGCTTATTTGGAAGTGCCTGGAAACAGTGCCTTGTGCATGTTTTTTAATAAATTTTTTATTGAAGAAAAGATCATACAGGACAGAGGTGGGTTTCAGCAGGTTCTGACCAGTTCTGGAGAACCGGTAGTGGAAATTTTGAGTAGTTTGGAGAACCGGTAAATACCATCTCTGACTGGCCCCACCCCCATCCATTCTCTGCCTCCGGAGTCCCAGCTGATCAGGAGGGAATGGAGATTTTACAGTATCCTTCCCCTGCCACACCCACCAAGCCACACCCACTGAACCTGTAGTAAAAAAATTTGAAACCGACCACCAATACAGGATTAAAAACTACTGAACTGTTTAAAAAGTAGCAAAGAGAGAAAGGTATGTTTCTATTCATTTCATCAAAATCCACCGGAAAATGTTCATGCTAGACAGATGCACTTCTTATGCTTTGCAGTGCGTTGATTTTTTTTTTTAATTGGGTGCATTTAAAATACCTGACACTGGGCTGAAATGGACAAACTAACATTGGAATTGAAAGGAATGACAGACTCGGAGTATTATGTATCATGGGAGAAATGGTACAAATGGATTAAAAAGAGAAAGATGAAACAGGCTCAGACATAACAAAATTTGATGAAGTAAAATATATAGAGCATAAGTATTTTATAGGGATACGTTTTGTAAATGGGCACAGTTCTGCATAAAAAATATTCTTTTTTCCCCTTTCTTTCTTTCTCTTTTTTTTGTATCTATTGTATTATTTTTTTTTGTATTTTTGTATGTATGTTTTTGGTTTTGTGTTTATTGAAAAATTAATACAATATTTTTTAAAAAATAAATAAAAATAAAATACCTGTCACTGAATTTAAGACACCTCGCCACACTGAAAGGTTTTACAGAATCGGAACAGGTATCAAAACAATCGAAACTCGACAGGGACTAGCCTCTTGCTCAGAACTTTGTACTTACAAGTCGTCCTCCGCATCACTTAGCCAGCCAAAATCGGGAGGCGTGTCTTAAGATCAACCAATCAGAGCCACCGTTCCTCTTCTCCCTCATCTGGAGTAAGGAAAGCCAAAAAGGCGGGAGTCGATACAGCCCCGCCCTTCCCACCTCAAACCACGCCCACCTCAGTCCGCGCCCACTCGCATCGAGAGCGCGAGGTTCCTTTCCTCACAGCGGCGCCCGGCTGGTAGGTATCGTCGAGCCGCCCTTGTCTCCCGCTTAAGCCCCTCCCATCCTTGCTCTTTGGGCGGCATCTTTCCAGTTTAAAAAAAAAAAAACAATCTCGCCGTTCTCTCCGAATCCCGCCCCCCTTCTTGGGGCCACGCCCCTTTGGTATAAATAGTCGGTGTGTTGAAAGCGTCCCGTCAGTCGCGCGTGAGGGCTTGGTGAGGTGAGGTGAGGGAGTGAGGGAAAGAGAGCGAGCGAACGGCTCTGGGTTTTTTTTTTTCTTTTTCTTTTCCTCCCTGTCATCCCGAGTGACCCGTAAACCCGGAGAGGGAGCCGATCCGAGCCTGGTGAGGGACGGTTCCTGTGCGGGTGGTCGGCATGGCGCTCTCGGTGCCGGTCAACGGCATGAAGGAGGTGGGCGACGGCAAGGAGCCCCTCATAGAACTCTTCGTCAAGGTATAAAGAGGCTCCTCATTGAGGGCATCGGCTTGTTTCGCCGGGTGGTGGTGGTGGTGGTGGTGGTGCGGGGGGGGGGGAGGTAGGAAATCGCCCTCCTGCCTCCTTCCCCGCGGTGGCGGATGGGCGTTGTAGTCCTACGCCCGGGCGGTGGTGTGTGGGATGGACGACCCCCACCCTGGTGCCCTCCTTCCCGCCTCCGGTCGGGCTTTCTCCACCCCGCCTGCCCCATCGAGGCCGGGAGGTTCTGCTCGGAGCTGCCCGCCCGAAGGGCTTGCAAGAAGTTGGGGGCGCTCCCTAGAAAAGGGGCGCGAGGAAAGGGTCCCGCAGCCCCCCTTCCGCCCCCGGGGTCTGGGCTTCCTTCTTACCCCACTGAGAGAGGGTTCAGGTGGGCTTCGATGACCCCTTGGAAGCCCCCCCACCAACTGCTAAGGCTTGAATGCGTGTATGATTAACAGAGATTAACAGAGTTGGAAGGAACCCTGTAGGTCATCTAGTCCAACCCCCCCACCCACAAATGCAAAGAGTTTTCTATAATACACTTCAGTTCCTTCCAGTGGTGGGTTTCAAATTTTTTTACTACCGGTTCTGTGGGTGTGGCTTGGTGGGCGTGGCAGGGGAAGGATACTGTAAAATCTCCATTCCCTCCCCAATCCAGGGGAAGGTTACTGCAAAATCCCTGTTTCCTCCCAATCAGCTGGGATTTGGGAGGCAGAGAATAGATGGGGGTGGAGCCAGTCAGAGTTTTTACTACTGGTTCTCCGAACTACTCAAAATTTCTTCTACCGGTTCTCCAGAACTGGTCAGAACTTGCTGAAACCCACCTCTGGTTCCTTCATCGTTTCTTTATGAATAGAATAGAATAGAATAGAATTTTTTATTGGCCAAGTGTGATTGGACACACAAGGAATTTGTCTTGGTGCATATGCTCTCAGTGTACATAAGGAGAATAAAATACGTTCATCAAGAATCATAAGGTACAACACTTAATGATAGTCATAGAGAACAAATAAGCAATCAGGAAACAATATCAATATAAATTGTAAGGATACAAGCAACAAAGCTACAGTCATACAGTCATAAGTGGAAGGAGATGGGTGGTGGGAACGATGAGAAGGTTAATAGTGCAGACTTAGTAAATAGTTTGCATTGTATTTATATCCCCCAGATGTGACCCTGGACGGCTCAGAATAAAACATAAACAAGCCATAAAAATGAATGAAAAGCCAGACTCTCTCTTAAAAAGGGAAAAGCAAAAGTGTAAGCCAGGGCTGGAAATCCTGGGAGGGGGCTTGGGTGGGTTGAGTCTTCCAAGAAAGGGATTGAAGTTGAGTCTTCCAAGAATGGCGTTGGAATGAGAAGACGATCGGAAGGCAGCATTCTTCATCCCAGCACCCGGAAGACGCTGTAGATTTCCTTCTGGACCTTTTCCATTCTGGGTGGGGCTTTCTGGTTGGGATGAAGAAGAAAACTATCTAGATAGAACAATGGGGTGTCCAACCTTGTGGATTCCAACTCCCAGAATTCCTCCAGCCAGCGATGCTGAACCACTAGAGTTGGAAGGGACCTTGAAGGTCTTCTAGTCCAGCCCCCTGTTCAAGCAGGAGACCTCATACCATTTCAGACAGGTGGCTGTGTCTAGTCTCCTCAAAAGCCTCCAGTGATAGAGCACCCACAACTTCTGAAGGCAAGCTGTTCTACTGATTGATTGTTCTCACTGTCAGGAAATTTCTCCTAGGTTGGATCTCTCTTTGATTAGTTTCCATCTGTTGTTTCTTGCCTTGCCTTCTGATGCTTTGGAAAATAGGTTGCCTTTCTCTTCTTTGTGGCAGCTCTTCGAATATTGGAACGCTGCTGTCATGTCTCCCCTTGGTTCAAGTCTCTAAGTTGCTAAGGTTGGACACCCTTGATCTAAAATTTAGCCTGGCCTTTTGCTATCTCTCAGGCTTCCTGGAGGTTTGAGCTATAATTCTTACAGCTATGATTGAACTGACCAATACTGCATTAGTGCTGTCAAGTGGAAATAGACATCTAAGTTTCTCTGCGCTTTTTAACTTTTAACTTTTTATTTCATCAGTCAATAGGCCTAATTCTATATTCTGAGGGACCACAGTGATATTTTGAGAGTTCAGAAGTATTCTCAGTAGGAATTTCGGATTTTTTTGTTTTTGTTTTTTTTAAAAAAGTTTTTTTTATTAGTAGTTCAAAATTAAAAACATTGGACATATATATGACATCACTGGTCCCAAGCATCTTCCAACATTATTAATTATTAATATAAATAAATAAATAAATAAATAAATAAAAATAAATAAATAATAAATATTAATACATAATATACTAATGATAATATAATAATATATTCCTAACACCTTATACATTATTTAAACATAGTATAATAATAGTAATTTATAGTTTATTCCTATATATCTATACCTACATAGTATGTGTATGTATAATTATAATTATTTATATATATATATATATATATATATATATAAAACCTCAGTAGGGGTTTTGAATCCCATGAGATTCCATGGCAGGTTGATAAAAGGGGGTAAAACTTTGGGGCTTAGAAAAAGGCAAAGGTGATAGGAGGTTAGAATAGAAGTTATTCCTTGTTCTGTAAAATGGACATTTATTGGAGTTGTGAGAATTTTTCTGCCTTCTTCAGTAGATACAGATTTTGCTTACCCATGATAGATTTATAGCCTCTTTTCCAAGTATTTAACTTCTCTCAGCTTTGTCATGAGAAGAGAATGTGATTTTTTTTTTTAAAAAAAAAAATCTCATTTCAGAGGTTTTCTTCCCAGTTACAAATGCATTAGGAAGCTATTTCTATGAGGTACTTTAATTCACCGAGATTTAGCTCAAACACTTCCTATTTTATTTCCTCCCCTCGTCTCCAATTTTGGAGTTATATATAAAGTGCTGATTAATATCGGCATGATTTTTGGTGACATATAAGTTCCATATATATGAAATGTTTTTATCAAACATTTATGTTCTTAGGCAGAGGTTACATCAAGGAATATATAACACGACTATTTGGGGAATCACATTTTTGCATTGCTATAGCCTAACCTTTGCCTTGTTTGATCATAACATATCTTTGGTTTGTATATCAGTTCAGCATGGCCTCGCCTTCAGGAACAAGCTCTCCAGTGCCGTGTTAATAAAATCTTCCCCTTTGCATTTTTCCATGCATCCATGGAATAATTCTTTGCCGTACACACCCGTTCAGCCCCCATCTGCTCTGGTATGAGGCAGGCACAGTTATAGCAGAAGTCTTGAGCTGGAAATAAAGGGTGGGGAATGATGGAGTCTGCATGAAGTCATGTTCTCCAGAAGTCATTACTTCATGCAGTCTATGAATAGTCCATTACTCACTTGCTCTTGAAGACTTGGCTTGAGTTCCACACTTCTGTAAAAAATGGGCTTTGGGGAATTAGAAGGAGCCACAATAAAAAAACAAATCTGCATTACATATTTTATTAAATGTATGTATATATTTATGTCCTGCATGAGGTGTACATATGCATGAGTTCCACCCCTGTTCTCATCACTTGCTTTACCAGTTATTATGCAATTTTTTGCTGATGTGAATTGCATATATTAAAAGATTTCTCCTTTCAAGTGGAGAAGTCTCTGTTGAGTGTCTGAGAACAGCTAAGTACAGGTAGCCCTTGACTTATTACCACAATTAAAGCCAAAAATTTCCATCGCTAAGCAAGACGGTAATGAAGTGAGTTTTGCCCCATTTTACGACATTTCTTGCCGCAGAAAAACGATCATGTTACTTTTTTCAGTGCCGCTGTAACTTCAAATGGTCTACGAAGACAAGTAGTCCTTGACTTAAAATCATTCGTTATTTATGTTAGTTCATGGACATCAACCTTTTTGGCTTGCCTGGGCCTCATTGAGCGAAGAGGAATTGTCTTGGGCCATGTATATATATCACATAATATTAAAAGTTTACAGTCTTGTAGAGCCGTATTAGCTGTCCAGTCACATGCAGCTAGGGTGAAATCTACTTACCTTCCCTACCAGTTCGGAAGTGTGTGTGCCATCGTCATGTCCGATTTTTTATCCTCTGCACCTGCACAAAGCCGCCTACGCATGTGCAGAGGGTCAAAAACGGGTTACTTCCTGGTTAAAACCAGAAAGTAACAACGTCCAGGCGGGTGGGCAGAGCCTCGCACTGCCGTCACTACCGGTTCACCAAACCACGCACCACGGCTGCTACTGGTTCGCGCAAGCCAGACAGTACCGGCAGGATTTCACCACTGCATGCAGCCTGTGGGTTGAACACACCTGTATTAAGTAGTCATTTCTAAAGGCTGAAGAACATGATATGAAGATGTTAGTATTATAATATTCATAAGATGTTAGTTTGTCTGAAGTTATGCCACCCACCCTAGGCTATTTTGTGTGGAGAATTTGATTTTGAGTCTTTGAGGAAAATGATTACCATATTTAGCTGAAAGGCTGATTGGATAGGGAAAAATAATTTCCCTTTATTAATGTGCATCCATCAGCCATAAGATAACTTATTACCGAGACTGGGGAAGGGGTTATTTGGGGGGTAATTTTGATTCCTATTTTGATATATATGCTCTCAGTGTTCAAAAACAAGTAGGCGATATTGTTAAAGAGGTGAGGTGGTGTGATTTCAGAGTTAAAGTGAGATTATTTCTAGGGTTTCTCCCCTCCCCATCCACAGAGCATGTCTCCTCACAAGGTGATCTTTACTAACTGGCATTTGCAAAAAAACCAACTGAAGGCAAAAAAAGAAAGAAAGATGGAAATTAAGTACAACCATTGCAACTTTACTAATTCCCATGGAAGAAAAATATGCTGAACATGGTTGTAACTCGTGGTCTATTCCTGTTCTAGAGGATATTTTCAAGGCAAACTTTGATGCAGAAATAAAATACAACTTGCTTGTAGTACTTTTCCTGATGCTCTGTGGTAATGAGTAACTTGCATCTGTGCCTGCC